CACAGCAAGATTTTGATTGACGAATCACGAGTTCAAAAAGTTTCATATCTTACTCCAATTAATGAATCTCCCACCAACAATTCAACTGTTTTGAAAACTCTAAAATTGAGTCAGGATATTGCAAAGGAGTGTCAAGCTCCCTACATCCAGATCACCTATGATCTAGCTATTGCTCGCACTAGTTATTGTATTCAAGTACAAGAATCTCCAAGATTTGATAATATTTTTATTCATTTAGGGGCCTTTCATATTGAATTGGCTTTTTTTAAGGCAGTTGGTACTTTTATTGAAGATTGTGGACTGAGCAATATCATGACTGAATGTGAATTGATCGCTAATGGTTCAGTGCCAGGTTTTATTAGCGGAAAAAATTATAACAGATGTAAACGGTTGCATTCTCTCGTGGCGTTGGCATTGCAACAATTACATTTCGAAGCATTTTTGGAAAAAAAACAATTGACAGTTGACGACTCAGTGTTCGAATATCTTACCACATTTTTTGCTCATGAAGATGTCTCTCCTCAAGTTCAGCATGCAGAAACACAACGTCTCATTCAATCTTATGAAGAATACACAAAAGACACATTAGACGGCAAGCACGGAAGAACGGCGCAATTTTACGCAATGTACATTGATTTTATAAATCTTTACCACTTATTCATTAAAAGTATTAGAGTTGGAGATTTAGAATTGTACATATATACCATTGCGAAAATCGTCAGCTTATTCTTCTATTACAATCAACCAAACTATAGTCGATGGCTAGTGTACTACATAAATTTACTGCAACATGTAGATAACACACATCCAGGCCTCCGATCTGAAATGGCTAAGGGTTCGTTTGGAATCAGAAGAACCAGCAAGCCTTTCTCACGAATTCCTGTGGATTTAACGCTAGAGCAGACGATAAATGGTGATGCTGCTCGTCGTCTTACTGGAATTGTTAACCTCACAAATTCAATTTCTGCTAGACAACGTTGGGCTAAAAATCATGGAGCGCGAACAAGAATCATATCTCATGTGCTTACTCGTGCAGGGCTTGACAGAAACTACCATGATATTGCTGCTGATCTACACCCAGATCGAATGAAAAAACAACGCATCCAAATTGAAGCTTTTTCGAGCAGTGTCCTGCAGACCATCAATCCATTCTCTTCTTCAATTGATAAGGATCTGTTGTTTAACATTTCAACGGGGCAAGCTGCTTCTCTAGAAATTACAAACTGTTTACTAAATACAGTGTCTGGAGGAACATTTCTGCGCGATCAATTCATAATGGAATGTAATTTAAATTCAGACAGGTTTCACCAGCCAGTAAAAAAAAAATAAGGTGCTAAGTTTTGCAAGCCTCAAGAAGAAAAAAAAAAATGAAAATTGGTGAAAAAGTGCACGAAGTTACATTGCAGCGGGATTTATTCGGACGGTTATTAGCTCTATCTCTTGACACGAGTATAGACTTGGAGAAAGTACTTTGTTTTCCCATAACTCCTATGCCGTTATCACTGTGCCATATAGATGGTTCTTTAAACAAGACTGATAAGTCAGTACTAATTCACGAGTTAGAGAAACAAGTTAAAGATATGGAGCAACCGCCACACCAAGTTGACCTTGTAATTATAGATGGCTTCTTTTTTTACATACTTTTAAAGAAATGCCCCGTAGTTTTGGAGGTGTGTCAAAGAAAATATTACAATGCCTTGTCAATAACGCTGCAAGTAAAGTTGCCATTGTATTCGATCGCTACTTCACACCCTCTATCAAGGATTATGAGCATTCTGTTCGAGGTAGTGTAGATGACAAGGAATTCCACATTTCCGGTCCTCAACAAACACGAACAGCAGAATTAACGAAATACTTAAAAAATTTAAAGTTTAAAGAAGCTATTGTCAAGTTTTTGATCGATCATTGGGCTGATCAGGAGATGGCAACAATTATCGGTAGTAAGGTAATTTACATAATACATGATTTGTGTTATGAATATTCTGTTACTGATAATAAAGTAACACGCATCATTAATAATGAGTTGTCATGCCCTGATCACGAAGAAGCGGATACGAAGATAGCATTTGTTGCTTGCCAACAAAATGAAGATTCTACCATTACTGTCAGAACTTCTGATACTGATATAGTGGTCATCATGTTAGCAAATATGGAACACCTGCAAGCAAGAGTAGGAGTTTGGATGGATCTTGGAGTTGGCAATGCCCGCCGACGCATCGACGTATCCGCTCTCTACAAAAAATTAGGTTCAAAAATTTCGAAAGCGCTTCCAGCTTTGCATGCATTCACTGGTTGCGATTTCAACCCAGCATTGTACCGACGAGGGAAAAAGAAACCTTTACAATTATTAATGAATTCAGAAATTTTCCAAGAAGCATTTGTGGATTTGGGATCAAATGAGCATAATGTGCAGGATTCTTTTAACATTATACAGTCTTTTACTTGCCACTTGTATGGGTTGAAAAAGTTAGACGATGTGAATCAAGCCAGGATTATCATCTTCAATAGGACATACAAAGTAAAAGACAAGTCGCAACCCTTCTCCTTGAGTGTCCGGCATTACGATGCCTGCAACTTGCCACCCTGTGAATCGGAGTTACTCCAGCAAGTGTTACGCACAAAATTCATTGCATGCTTATGGAGTAATGCCCATAATGCAAAAATTACTGATCATTTACCAACGGACTATGGATGGAAAATTGTCGACGAGAAATTTAAAATGAACTGGTTTGCAGGTGACCAATTGCCGAAAGCGTACGAAGATGTAGTCATAACACCTGATATTCTTGATGATACTCCAGAATCGGGTATTTCTTTTCTTCAATAATTGAAAAAACACGTTGTTCATAAAGAAAATATTGTTAAATATTTTAATAATTTTTTGTTACAGATACGCAATCTGAGAATGAAATTGAGCCAGAAGAGGAAGATGATACTACGGATGAAGATGATGATTAATTAATCAATTAATTATAAAACATTAAATTGTTTTAAGCTTTTTTTAAAAGTAATTTTTTAATAAATACATGTATTCTACTAAAAAAGCATACACTTATTTATTTGCATGCTATTTCCTGAGCTTTTAATTAATTAAGTTCAATGATTTAAAAAAAATAAAAAAAATTTTGACTTCCCGCTAAGAAAAATTTATTTAAAATTTTAAACAATTCGGGAAGTTATTGGTTTTAACCCGTTTTGCGAAAATCGAGTTTTCATCAGATCTTGACGTTTTAAGGTCATAGGAAGCTTCCCTGACTACCTCCGTGATGTTGTCACTATGTCTGTATGTATGTGTGTGTGACTCGCTTATAACTTTTGAACGACTAAACCGATCGGAATCTACTAAACGGCGTTCTAAATATTTCCCTCAAAATTACATTTCCTGTGAATTTGAACCGATTTGAAATTTTGAGAAATTTTGATATATCTCAAAAAAAAATGTTTTTTTATGTGGTTTCTTTACCGATCAACTTCAAAAATACTAATCCGCCTTTGAGCTTGAAAAACCACGTCGATCGCCACCAAGCTGGTCAAAAGCGGTTGATTCGTTCGTGAACGAAAGAAACCCGAAAATGTGTTTTTTCGGGATTACTCCGAAATTTGTGGTTCGATCAATTAAAATTACTTATGTGGATGATAAAACTGCGTCGAATGCCGCCAACCGCGTGAAAATTGCTTGATCCATTCAAAAGTTATTGCGGTTTGTAAATTCCAAAAATAGTGTTCTATGAAACTTCTATCAGACTTTCGAGCTGGTAGAGCTCAAATGCATAGAAATATTATTTCTTTGAACTCGGCGAGCTCAAAATATCAATTTTAAGCGCCCAGGAATGGAATTAGCGGGAAGTTGCAGGGATGGCCCTTTAGGTGAACCGTTTTTCTATTTTTTTTTGTCAGATCAGGCGAATCCCTCTAGATAATCGTCAGATTATGAGACAGTACGTTTAGAACATAAAGATGAACCACATATATCTTAATCTGACGCGCTTGAGTATTTCAAAATTGCGATTTTTTTTTTGCAAATTATGAAAATGGCTGTGGGTTTGCGTCCCATCGAAATCGTCAGATTAGTGAATGAGAGCTTTTTTTTGGTGTACTTAACACTCCCTTAGAAAATCTGACGCGCTCGATAATTTTTTTTTTTTTTTCATTTTCAACCCTTAAATACAACCACCCGCATCATGCAAACGATCAGATTAACATACGTACATTATTAAAAATACGTAGGGCATAGATGCTATCAATATCTGACGCGCTCGAGGATGTCCATGCAACAGTTTTTTTTTACATATTTAACTATCTATAGCCGCTTCCCCCACCGATGAAAAGGAATTTATCATATAACATTTTTTTCTTCTTATTATCTAAGCTTTGCATCCCAATAGGTCTCTACGACGCTCGAGTAAATCCCCATTTAGCATCGTGGGCTCCCCTACCATGGGTAGGCAAACAAATTAACATTTTAATTAAAGAGAGAAAAACAAAACAGTCAACTAATTAGAAGCTAGTACAAAATAGCACAAACAAAGTTGTATGGGCGTATGTGTGTGTGTGTGTGTGTGTGTGTGTGTACGTGTGAGTGTGTGTATGTGAGTGTTGTGTATGTGAAGTTGAGTGTGTGTGAATGTTGATAGTGGGAGAGGGTATGTGTCAGGCACACGCCTGAGAACATAATATGTGAAAATTATTTTAGTATATCTAGCAGGTTTTCCGTTTGGTCATAGTTCAAAGTAAGTAAAATATAATATAAATCAATACATAGCACCCCAAAGTGGAACAAAAAAACACATAACTGAGACAAATGTACATCTTTGGAGACCTTTAGCCAATATGGTGTTATTGCAGAACGAGTAATTTTAGAATTAATAAAAGAATTTATTAGGTAAATTTATTGGAATACCATAAATTATTACAGTTTAAATTAAAAGGAATTGATAATGGATCTTTTTGTTATATTTTTTTTATAGTATTTCCATACAGTTAATAAATAAATTCTACAATTATATACCAACCTGCCTACATACAGCAACATTATCTCCAGGCGGCACAGCCAATCTATGAGTCTCACCATCGCTGAAGCTAATCACAATGAGTGCGGGTTCGGTGTCCGGAAAATTTAATTTAGCAGCATCCATGTATTTCTTGTCACGCCATCGGGAGACGTCGCGAGCCGCCTCTGCACGGTTCCCATAGTACAGTAACACACCACGTTGAAGTACCCCCTAAAAATACGTGAGTATTGGCTTATTTAGACGCGTTAGAACCCCAGTTCGCAATGAATATTTCTTTCTATATGCGGTATTCTCTTTTGGTACGTAAATTAATCAATAAAGCTTTTTCTAAATTTGACGAATACTTAAATGATCCTAATCCTTGGGATTGATTTGCTCCAGTTCAAACGATTTGTTTGACTTAGCGATTAAAAAGAGTGGCGGAAAGTTTCTTGCCAGTTCTTCTTGCCCGCTCTACGCCCTTGACTTGCGAATTGGTAGTAAATGTAAATTTACAATTGATTTAACTTTTTTTTTTGACGTTCATAAGTGTACTTGTATACCTACATGAAAAAGATATTAAAAAGAAATCGTGAGGAAACCGCAATTATATATCGCCTTAGACCCAAAATTCGAGGTTTGTCAAACACCAATATTTAAATGCTACATTAAAATCTTACCCAAACGGGCCTCCATCCAAGGAACCTGGATCTTTTAAGTAATGGTCCTTCAAACCGGGCAGCGGTGCGTTGTAACCTTCGGACCGGGCGAACGCTAAGTACTTCGCGGATATCATTGTCTTTAGCTATATCTATGGCTAGTTGCCCTGTGAAAAAACAATGCACGTAATCATTTTCTATCGACACTTTGGATCTAATTTCACTCACACTCCTTCAAGAAATAAGTGTTCAAACACTTAGGGAGCGTTCAAGCATTACGTAACAAATTTGGGGGGGGTCCCTTTGTAAAACGTTACGAATTACGCGTTATTGTTAATATTATTTTCGACTTCCAATACTTTACACCACATAATGGTAACTTTTAGTTATAAAGAGTCACTGGGTGGTCACGAAACGTTTTATTTATTACGTAAAGAAAAACGTTACGGCGCGTTAGATGATCTCCAAAAATTGCGGGACGTAATACTTGAGCGCTCCCTTAACAACTCAACATACTTGTGAGCGTTCTGGCAATGTGTAACCATCGCCGGTATCACTCAATATCAGTTCTGTTCTATCTGTTCTATTAAAACAATTTCCACCACTCAGAGAATTTTTTCGTCGTCCCGTTTTAATATCATACGACATATTACGTCCAATCACAGTCAAACGCACGGTTTTGTCTTTACGTAAAGGTGCGCTTACACGGGCAACTAAAATTGCTCCATTTCAGTCAATACTCGTCAACTATGACGTCACGACTACATCAAGCAATTTACGGCAACGGCAACAAGCATCAATACTGCGCAATACAATATTGAGCGATATGGCGCAACTTCATCAACTAGGCAATACTGTCCTACACGAGCATTTCAGTATTCGCTCGCTATGGACGACATTGTTCTTGCTGCGGCGGCTTGTAGCGCTTTTTTATTATTAATCAAAAACAAAAAAGAAAGAAAAGGAATAGGCGTATCTAGGTGCGATCGTTTTTGGCAAAGAGGCCGCTATTTTCATTGTGTAAATAATTATATGATATATTATTCAAAAACTTTACTAGAATGTCACGAACAGACTTTGAATTACTTTTGAATAATTAATTAGAAATTATTATTATTTAGACCTCTCGCTCTCCCCGCGGAAGCAAGACGGCAAGCCGCAAAACAAACGAGTGCGAATGAGATATATACAAAAATTGCTAGGAATTTCCAAGTCCATTGGATATACGTCAATTCGTATCTGAGACATTGAGCGATATGAAATATCTGGAGCAATTAGAAGCAATATCGCCGAAATAATTTATTGAAATTGCTCCAGATCGGTCCATTCGTGTCGCCGAGCAATTATTGCCCTCGTATAAGCGCACCTTTAGGATACGTTACGGGCCTAAATTAAACCTAATGTTTAAAAAACTTTATTTCACATTACAAAAAACTTATTTTTATTTACATGAGATACTTCATACGAACGAGATACACGTCGCCATCAGCCGTCCCAATTTTAGTCTACTAGGCTCATTCTGATATCTATCTTTAATGCCCTTTTGAATTGATTAAACGCGAATACGAATTTTAGACGGTAATTGATTATAATAATTGCACACCCTCATACTTAATAGACTTCTTAAAATAATTTGTACGTGGCTTCGCATAGCAAACTCGCTCGACGAGTATTGCGGGTAGTGGTGTGTTTGATTTTTTTAAATGATAAGCTATTATGGAGAGAGTTATTTAAAACTTTTGTAATTAAGATATTTATTTATTTATATATTTATACTTTATTACCTTATTCAAAAACATACATATAACAAACAAAACAGGTTACAAAAGTTATAAGGCAACGGGCGGCCCTAATGTGGAACAATGAAAAACAAACACCTTAAGATACAGGTATTTAGGATCAAGAGAAGAGAGTACCATAAGAACAGTTACCATTATTGTTTCTGAGCGTTGTATCAATGCCATTTTGTAGTAAAAGCACGGCCACCCTTGCGTGACCTCGGTAAGCTACACAGTGGAGACAGGAGTTGCCTTGGACATCGACACAGTTTATACTTGGAGGATTTGAACTTGTCAACTGTAATTAATGTATTCTATTAAAATCTACACTATTATTATAAAGAGAAAAGATTTGATTGCTTGTACGCATTAGATAAACTCGAAAACTACTAGACCGATTTAAACATTTATTTTATCATTGGAATCCCACACTATCCCTGATAAACATGGGCTATAATATATCCGTAAGAGCAGTATGGCCTAGTGGGTTCAGCGTGCGACTCTCATACCAGAGGCCGTAGGTTTGATCCCCGGCTGTGCACCAATGGACTTTTATTTCTATGTGCGCATTTAACATTTGCTCGAACGGTGAAAGAAAACATCTTGAGGAAACCGACATGTCTTAGACCCAAAAAGTCGACGGCGTGTGTCATGCACGGAGGCTGATCACCTACTTACCTATTAGATTTAAAAATGATCATGAAACAGATTCAGAAATCTAGGGCCAAGACCTAAAGAGGTTGTAGCGCCACTGATTTATTTATAAAATGTCCATATGAAAAATTCAATAACTTAACCCAAGGTGAGATAAAAATACCACCAAAAATATATCGTAAACATATCGCGTACACTGCGGAAACTATTGTACTATTCGCATATAATAAAAGGGTCGTGATATAGCAACTTTCTTCGGAAATACAGAGTATATAAAATAAATATTAAAGTAATTTATTTCCATACTATTATTAATCATCTTTTTCTCAGTCATGTAAAAATCATATTTTTTCTAGCTATAGATACTACATAGTATCTAGATAATACAAAGCAATTATAATAAAAATTAAATAGAATGATGATCAATATCAGATTTCAATAGTATTTCCTATCTTGTGGTTTCAGAGTTATTGTACTTTGAAAATCTAAAAATATATTATATTTATTATATGGCTTACTAAAGCAATACTAGAAAAAGAAGAGGATGCCCACCAGAAACCTAGAAAGGTGTAATAAAAGAGAAAGCGGTGATAGATTGGAAAATAGCAGAAGAAGAATATGGCGGAGGCCTCACTATGTCCAAGGTTGTGTACTACTTACTAGTATTAAATATAATAATAACATACACTTAATGTAACCTTAATTATAGTACTCTAATAAACGCTATTGTTATTATTTATTCTTATATGTATAAAATAAAAACTAAAATAACCCACGCATTGTATTATAAACATGATATTTTACATATAGGTCAATAAATTTGACATTTTTAAACCATTATTTTTTTAATAGTTGTAAATTAGTTTGGTTTGTCGATAACAGGTTTTTGCATCAACTACCTGTTAATAATCTTTATTTTGATGGGCTTAGTTATAGTGTGTGTAGACTCTAAGTAAATAAGTGGTTGTGGTCTAAGAAAATAAGTTCAAAATTTGTATGACGTCTTGGTGGAAAGAAAAGCTATGTCAGCAGTCAATGATTGCACCACACCTATATAAAATAAATAAACACTTGTGCTCCTTAAGATAAAACTTATACTTTCAGGACAAAAAATGCCATTGGAGTCCCTTTCAACAGCATTTTTTTTTATTTTATCATCAAAATCATACACTCACCAATTCTTGGACAACATCATGACGTCCGTCTTTAGCAGCATTCAAAAGCTTTCGTTCTTTCTCGAGACGCATTGCTCTATCTGCTGCTTCAAGAAGTCTTTGGACATCTTGAGACTTTGATACATCACAAGGTGTTTTCCCTTCTCCATTCATCACATTCACGTCTGCATTTTGATTTAAAAGAATAATCACTAATTCCTGAAAACAAATAAGTTTATTAAAATGTATAAAATTATCATGATCTAGTCAGGGGATTAGGCAAAGACGTCACTTTACAGAGGATGATAAATGTTACAATATGAACTGACGCAAGGTAACTATTACATAATCAGCTACATGCCAACTAATATTTATATTCAATTCTAATATTTTTTAGACTTCTGGTAAGTTACTGATAATCCAAACTTATATAACTTTTATAAAAAATGCAATCACAATGTTTACAATTAAAATAAATGTATTTTATTTTATAATTTATATAGACCAACCAACCAACCTCATTTCCAATAAAAGCGGCCTTATGTAAGGCTGTGTCACCATCTTCATTGACTTCATCAACATCAACTCCAGCCTCAAGTAGTGCTAAAACTACTTGTTTGTGTCCAAAATATGTAGCTAGGTGGAGTGGTGTCCATCCAAGATTACCCCTTAGTTTTCCTATAAAAATTATAATACTGTTGTAAACATCAACCTATCACCTTTTCATACAATCAATTTGAGAGGAAAACTAACAAAGTGCTGTAGCTGACCACATTTTAATAAATAATGGGGCATGCTCACAGTATAAAACAATTACAATTTTTTTTCATTTATTTATGTATCTAATGAAATATATCGTCCCCATAGAGCGAAAATTCATTAAGTCCAAAAAACCTGTTTCGAGATAATGAGGGTTAAAGTTTTGAAATATATAAATTGCCATATCTTTAGCATGTCTTGACATATTTTAATGCTTTTCGTTTCATTTTGAAGGAAATCAAATTAAGTTAAAATGATGCTAGCTACCCAAAGTGATGATTAAGTTATTACTGAGAAAACCTAAAAAAAAACAATTAGTTATTTGTTCCCTGTAGAATATCCGATGTAGTTATGAATTAGTTAATATTCGCCCCTAGTTAGTGATTTTTCACTCAGATCGAGTTTATTTTTATGATAAATAACTTGAGTTGTGTAATTTACGACTAACTGGTAGATATACAAAATATACATAATGAAAAAAAACTTTTTTTAACTTAATAGTTAAAAGGCATTTTGTTTTATAATAGTATAAAATCAAACTACTTTTATATAAAAACATCTCCTACACTCCCTATGGATTAAAAAATTAAAAATAAAATTAATTAAATCGTTTATTTTTATAAGCTATGTAAGTTTTTGATAAATAAAAAAATAGCTAACATGATTAACTTATTTTCTTTTAGGACCAAAGAATAGATTTATTTAATTTTCACTTTTTGTAAATCGGAAACTAGGAGACCTACAAAATTGACGGTTAGACAGTTTAATAAAGAAAAATAATATAGTTTTAATGGCCTAGCTAACTCGTTTTGGCAATTTTTTGACTTAATTAGTTTTCGCTCTACGGGGACGATATGATCATTGAGATAACTCAATAAATATTATGTTATATGGTTGGTTGGTCAGTTTTCACATGTAGACACTCGTTAGATCAGTTGTGCCTAAAGTCCTGGCTAACTAAGCCAGATTAGCTCTTTCCAGAAGCACAGAAGTCTCCTGGGCACTTTGGTGGGTTTACTGAGCTGTTAATATGCAACTTCATTTTGAATTTAACCATATGTTTTAAGAATATGCTCTATTAACCTAGATAAAACAAAAGCTAGATAAAATTGGAAAAAAAAGAAAATTTAATGTAAAATTACATACCTTTACAATTTAAGTCTACAGTCAGTTTTTCAGCTTTCTTCGCTTCTATTATAGCTTTTACCATAGCCATTTCTCCATGGCGAGCTGAATATAACAACGATTCTTCAGCCTCTTGATTACCATTTCCAGTCATTTTAGCGACGTAATTGGTACACACTGTGAGTATAATATTTTATTTACACATTTATTCATTTACTACTAAAAGCACTTTGTTTTACTGTTCGATAATAGACTTTACTTCAATTTAATTATTTTTAAATAAATAAATAACAATACGTTTTACGTATTCCAGTAAACGTTAACTAGTATTTTATAGAAAAATATTTGTAAGTATTGATAAAAGATAATATAATATTTTGTACTATATACCTATATATAGTTTAGTGAATACTCGTTTGTTCGTCAAGTTTTATGAAGTGGATTCTCTCTATCTTTTGCTTCGACGCAGTTTTCATTTCTTCAATTCAAATCAAATGGCTGATGAAAACAACACAATCTTATGATCCATGTCAAAAACAAATAACATTGACAAATAACAAGTGAGAAACAACAGACTACGAAAGCGATTAGAAATACAAAATACGTCGTCCTGCGTTAATGAATACTGCAAAATAGAATAATAATAGAAGACAGAAGTCAATCTAACATGCTATGAACATTTATTGTATATATCATTAGCAACCTATATATATATATAGGTTATATATATAGGTTGCTGAGTAAATATAATATCTTGTTAAAAAAAGGAAACGAAGTTCAAGTCGGATTTTGGTCGCCCTCTCAATAATTACAGAACCATTTTGATAGCTGTTGTATCTGTGGAGGACTGTGATTTGGTTTGGCATTAAAATAAAGGGGATTTTAAATAACAGAAAAGATAATGAAAAACATAATATTGAAAAGAAATGCATGAAAAGTAAAATGGAAGCTAATTATGAGAACTATTGTCGAATTTGTTTAGACGTAGAATCTAAACATATTTGCATTTTCAGAGATTCGACCATTCAAATGCACATAAAATCATGCCTCACTGTTAATATTCATGAAAACGATAATCTTCCAAAGAGTATTTGTGAATCCTGTGTGTGTCAATTAAGTAATTTTTACCATTTTCAATTAAATGCACAATGCTCTCAAGATTGGTTGGAGACATCGATACAAGAGAAGCGAAAATATTCAGAACAAAAAACATACATTCATCCATTACCTGACTCTGAATATAATTCAGATTCTCTTCTAGAATTTTTAAACAATACCGCGAATATTGAAGATTATTTGAATAACTTGGGTAAAGAGGACATACCAACTATTGTTAACATCTTAGATAGAACTGAAGGTGACAAAGTTAAAATACCTCCAAGTCAAAAGAAAAAAGCAATTAAAATGGACATAGACGTATTAGACTCAGATAAAGAAATAGTAAAGGAGTTGTTAATGAAGGAATCAAAACCAAAAAATACTGATCTCCATTCATGTTTCGCCTGTAATGAAACATCAGACAGCATTCAAACACTGTCTAGACATTTAAGTGTTTGTGAAAGTGCAAGTCGAACTTGTGTTCTCTGTAAACAGCTATTTAATTCCAAACAAAAAATGTTACAACATTTTCTAACACACAATATAACTGAGCCCTTAACATGCACATGTGGAAAACGGTTTGAAAATAAAGAAAAGCTTAATTATCATACAAAAAACTGTAATGTGGATCATATTGCATCAATGGGGTTCATGTACAGATGTAAGCAATGTAAGGAAACTTTTACAGAGAGGTTTCAACTATTTAAACATGCCAAAAAGCATATTTTACGAGGGGAACAGCAGATGTGTGACATATGTGGGCATATATTTACAGGAAATGAGGCCTTAGAACAACATAGGAAACAGGAACATAATAAATTGAACAATTGTAAATATAGGTGAGGATTGCTATATTATGATAGATTTCTTAAAATGACCCTAACTTAAAAAGTTGCTACTCTCATTTTGTATCATGAAAAAAAGATATTATAACTAGGCGAACAAACCTTTGTTCGTCTGATAATATAGACATCTGATAGGTATCAGATCACAGATGTCTATTGTCTATAGTATCGCTCCAAAGTGCTGGTATTAAGTAATCTCTTATGAATTTCAATATTTTACAGGTGCAAACAGTGCAGTTTCTCATCAGTCAATCGCAAGGAAATGTATCATCATGTGCAAAAACACACTATTGGAAAGAATTTAAAGCATTTATGTGAATTGTGTGGAAAATGTTTCTCTTCCAAATTAACCCTACAAAGACATTCCTTGCAACATAACTCTACTAACTTAAGTAAAATAAAAGAAAAATGTGAATCTATGGTTATATGTGAAAAGTGTGGCGAGACCATAATTAATATAGACATAAATAAACATAAATGCATGTGAATAGTTTTATACATATAGTAGTATCTTGTATCCCTTGTCTTCCTTAGTGTATGCCTGGGATCTTGATAGTTAAGGTTCACACCATTTGTATAGAGATCTCAGATTTTTCATGTCTGAGCAGAAGTTACAGACCTATTTCGTGTACATTATTTTCATTAAAAAATGCTGTATTAAAATATTTTATTAAAAACCAACATGTCTAAAATATCTAATTAACTTCATAATAAACAATGTCAAAGATTTATAAAACTAAATAATTTTGACAATATACAAAATAACAATACTAAATTATTCTTAACAAAAACAAAACCAGCCTCTGTGAGGGTAATTAAAGAAATCTGTTAAAATAATCCTTATTCTGTAAGGCATAAGGTTGTTGAGATCAATAAATGTTTTCATTGCAGTTGGTATGCTGATGCATTTTTTATTTTTTCTAATGCCTGAAAACAGAAAGAGAACATATAACATCAAAGAGGAAACCAAAGAAATTGTTAATGTGTTAGGCATAGGCTGTCCAGACAAAAGCATTTCAAACTCTCTTCTTCCACTCAGACATGGAATTGCTAGCCTTATATGCTGATTTTAAAACGATGTCAAATTAAATATAGGAACCTACCGTGACTGAATAACAAACAAGCAACGCACGTAATATTAAAGTGGGGCCGATTTTAAAACTCAGTTTACTTTTGTTGGTGAAACTAAGTTTATGTTCTAAGCCTATCATCTGCTAAACTTTTAAGAATTCAGAATCAAGACAATTTGTATGTTATACTATTGCACTTTAAAGTATTGCGGTTTGTGCAAGAAATGAGTCGAAGTCGTGGAACTCGGGTCAATGGCGTAGAACTATTAATTCATCCGTTGGCGATATATACCGGCTTATTGGTCTAGTACCCCTGACTGCGAATCCATGGGTCCCGGGTTCGATCCCCGGCTGAGACAAACATCGATGTGATGAGCATTTGGTGTTGTGCTTAGGTCTTGGGTGTTTAAATAGGTATTTATATGTCTATCTATCTATAATATGTATGTATATTCGTTGCCTAGTACCCATAACTCAAGCTTCACCAGCTTAGCATGGGACTAGGTCAATTGGTGTGAATTGTCCAATCATAAATTAAAAAAAAAAACCAGCATACCAGATAACACCATTTATAAAAAAATACTACCTTCAATGATTATTCTTGCAGCTTCCTTTGCACTTATCTCTGAATACCACCAGCTAAACCGGTGAGACGGTGGTGGATATAAACCAGTAGAAATCGTAGCGAGGTAAACCGATGTAGTGTGTATATTCTTTGTCCATGAGTCCAGACGTAATTCCTCGGTTATTGACTCCATTAAACCTAAGCATTAAGAGGATCTTAAGATCTTACAATAAACGAATGAAATTTCTTTTTTCATTATGCTTACACAGTTTTTTGACGTTATCAGTTTAAGCTATAGGTACTAAACATAATAGAAGAAGCACTTCGCTAACAAGAGTAACTTCTTTACTGATATCACCAATTACTGGAAGATTACTTTAGGAACCTATAGCTTTTCTGTAAGACTTTATTATATAATTTACCTCTCAGTCCATATTTCGCCGCACTATAAGGTATCATGTCCGGACAGGGCAATAATCCCGCGCTAGAATTGATGGCCACTATATGCCCTTGCCGACGTTCAATCATACTAGGAAGAAAAGCTTCTATGACCTGTGAATTATTTGTTTATTAATCTTAATTCTTGTTCATTCGACCATAACTTGGCGGATCGTAAAGTAGATGCACACACGAAAAAATACACCGAACGATAACAGGCGACGGGGAATTCCCAGTTCCGTGCGATAAACACGCATCGCACAAGCGTTGATTGATCTCAGTAATACCAGCCTTATGATTAGATTCTTTAAAATTTCAGATATTTTTTTAAATTCAAAATATCGCTTATTGCTTTCAGTGCGGCCTTGGAGCTTTTTGTATTCACGGGGCCCTGGGCTGCAGCCCGAAAAGCCCTTAAGTAGATCCGTCCCTGACCATAAATCGTGATAAATACAAGGATATTTTGGTGGAGAACAAGTACCTTAGAATTTATTTAACCTACCACTTCTGATTGTAAAGGGGAAGTTATGTTATACGTTAAAATCTTTTCAAAAGCACGAAGCACAAGGCCGTCTTTGTTACATGCCTTCGCACTGAGGCAACTACCAATTTGAATAAAATTTTACTAAATCACTTGGATTAGGACTTACCCAAAAATGTGCTAGCAAGTTGATCTCAATTAGTTTAGCAATACTTTCCGCTTTCAGATGTGTCAGCGGTCCGCAACTTACTGCCCCAGCGTTGCTGACTACCATCGACACGTCGGCGATTTGTCTCCGTATACTGGCTGCGAGGGATGATACTTGTTCTCGAACTGTTACATCAACTGTAAAGCCATAGCTCTGTAAACATGTAATAGTATCAAACAGGATAAGCCACTTCATACGTTTCTATTATGCATGCAAATGTACGATAAAAATCTCAAATCGTTTCGAGTGCGTATGAAATTTTAAGAATTCAAAATCTCCAACATCAGATCCATTCCTGTCCATGGTAGTTCATTCCTTGGAAATTTAATAAATCTTTCAGCTCGATACAGAAAATACATTTAAAAAAGGTTACCTACTTATGATCGGAAAACATTTATATCTTCTACCGCATTTACCAAGTATACCTGCAGCTGAATTTCATTATCGGACGTCGAGGCAGAATACGAAATTCCACCCGTATCACCTCGACGTCCGTCATTACTCAACTGATCGTTGATTAAGGCACCACCACTATGTTGAACTATCTACTCACTGATGTACTTCCATACGACTTAGGGCCCTTTAAGAAAGAGCGTACCAATTCTTAAGACAGGCAACGCACTTGCGAGCCTTCTGGCACTGTGAGTGCGGCGGTATCACCCGTTTGCAAATATAAAAAAACAGTTTTTCGTAATTCAAGTTGCCTGTGCTTACATCTCCGTCCTTCTTCCTAATTTCGTCAACGACTGCCTTGTTCCGCCTCGCGTCTTTGTCCCAACAGATCACGGTTGCCCCAAGATCTGCGAACTGCAGTGCCAACTCGCGTCCCAATCCTTGACCAGCTCCTGTTATCTGAACATCGAAATTAATAAAATATAGTAGGTAGTAAATTTTTAAAACAATATTTTACTAGAATATTCATCGGTAAAGATTTCATACGCTTAAATAGGCTTATAACTTTTTTTAGTTATTTTATTCTAAAGACGATTACATTAATTTATTTAACAAGAACTCGTACGTCATAAAATAATAATTTTCATACACCTTTCATTATTCATACTGTAACATATTTTTAACAATGAACTAAATTCTTTGATGTCACCGACTGCCGACAGCTCTAGTTCAAAGCTAGTTGATAGTCGCGCACCGCTTCGTGCACGGCTCTTTACACCTAGGAATGTAAGATCACACAAATCGAAAGGTTATTAGATTAAGTTTAATAACGTGAGTTAAGCAAAGTTGTCTTATAGAATTAGGTAAAAGCTTTTCTCTATCGAGATTGAGTTTCATTATTCTGAACACCTTATTTATTCTTAGGTAAGTACATAGTTTAAGTGTACGCAGCCTCAAAATACGAAGTTTTTCTTGTTAGAGAGCTCGCGAGTGCGTTGCCGGCTTTTTAAGAACGCTCTTTTCTTGAAATACCCTAAGTCAACTTAAACTGGTTCGGACTCAAATTGGTTCGGAAATACGAGTCCTTAATGGGCAGCTGGTTCCACATGGTGGGGATGCGCGGCAAAAACTGCCTTAATAAACACTTAGTTGTGGAAGGACAGACGTCGAGGTGATGAGAGTGATAATTTAATCTTCCTATATTTAAAAGGACGTATCTCCTTTATTTGAGAAGTGTTGGCCTAGTGACTTCAGCGTGCGACTCTCATACCTGAGATCGTAGGTTCGATCGCCGCCTACGCACCAATGGACTTTCTATGTGCGCCTTTAACATTAATTGCTCGAACGGTGAAGGAAAACATCGTGAGGAAACCGACATATTGTCTTAGACCCAAAAAGTCGACGGCTTGTATCAGGCACTGGAGGCTGATCACCTACTTGCCTTTTAGATTTTAAAATGATCATGAAACAGATTCAGAAATCTGAGGCTAAGATCTAAAGAGGTTTAAGCGCCACTGATTAATTTATTTTATTATCTACTTTATTTGAAAACCTCACCAATACAGTTTCTCCATTCATATTCTTCATAGTGGGTGGAATTAATACCCTCACAGCTGCAACAACGCAACATGAGCACAGCTTCGCTACCAACACCATTGAGTCCAACACGCTCAAAGGAATAGCGGCCACCCAACCACTTCCCCACCATGGCAGTATCCATACTTCTTGGAACCCTCTAAACTTTCTCGCCACGTGCCCTATAAAACGTACAAATATATTTCTGCTACGCATAAGAATGAGTAAAAAGATATAAATTGAGCAAATTGCGTTGCGACAAATATGACAATATTTTTTTTTGCCTATCACATGTCGTTTGAGTTTATAAGCAAATACGTTAATCTGTGGTTATGTGATTTCTTCAACTACTGAATGTAATTTAAAGGATTTTTATAAATTTAACATTGCACTCATTTTCAGTAAGTTACTACAATTTAAATTGTTTACACAATAATCAGAAAATAATTAAGCTACATTTAAAAACTAAAGTCATTTGTGACGACTATGTACAGGTGATGTACAACGTCAAATTATTTTATTTATATGTATTTTAAATATACGAGAAAGTTGCTTAAATCATGGCGAAACCTTTGCAAAAGGAAAGAGAAAACCGCTCTGCGGATAAGAAGGATCTGACATTCCATCCTTATAACATTACTCCGGAAAGTGCCTACACTTCTATATTGCTCTTGGAATCGCGTGAACCAGAAATATTGTGTCAGGTATTTTATAACTATTGAGACTTTTTAAGCGTAGATTCAAGTATCACTATAGATAAAAGTTTAATTGGCTTTCATTATCCATTATCAAACACTCCCGTTAATCTAATATATAAAATCGTCATGTCACGGTGTTTTGTAATTAGCAACACAATTAACAGGAACATTTTACTATGCTACCCCAGAGACTGTTCGGTGTTCCGGAATGAAAACCTTTTAGGTTTTTCTGTGATTTTTTCTCTATATACACCTCAGAGTTCAAGTCATAAGTTTTAAATTAACAAATAAAAATAGGGGTTGATCGTAGAGGGTTGAAAATTAAGTCTTGTATGTAGTTTTGTATGCTGTATCATTTATAAAATAAACAAATCTAGAAAATAAAATTATGGGGTGGACCCACCCTTAACATTTAGGGGGATGAAAAATAAATACTGTCCGATTCACAGATCTATCGGATATGCACACAAAATTTCACGAAAATCGGTCGAGCCATTTCGGATGAGTTTAATTACAAACACCGTGACACGAGAATTTTATATATTAGATAGTGGCAAAATATCTTGTAACATCTTTGAGAAAACTTGACTTCTGTAATGTTGAATGTTTCTAGCCCCGTAATTCGTTACAAACATATTACATTTGTGTCTTGTACTTGATATATTTAAGGCAAATAGGCATTCTGCCTACGTACCCTATAATACCCTCAAGCTATGCATGCAATAATGTACAGATCTTTGATAATAATAAATTTAATTTCCAGACACTTCGAGCCATAACCAAGTTTTCCGCGCAAGAGTTTCAAAACCGTCAGGTTTTGTTTGATCTAAATGCTATAAGGTATATCCTACCTCATGTGGAACATCCTGAGCTCAATATAAAGAGGTTTGCGCTAAAGGCATTAGCCCAGCTCTGTCAGCTTCCAAGAGGACCAGAACAAGTTCTCGCTAATCCTCAGAATTTAAGAAAAATTGCTTATATGTTGGTGAAGGTATGCTTTTGTTTAAACTGTATTTAGTTTGTAGTGTAAAGCTATCTTTTTTTGTCTCCAGCTCGTAGCAACTCTGTACGATAACATTATTATTATTTTTAATTTGTACGTGTTTTATTTATATTTTTGTGTGCGTTGTAAAAAAGTAGTGTAATTTTATAACTCCTTAGTAAAACCAGTCGATATTCTGACGGCAGATAGAATTTTACGTCCATACAAGATTAGTAAAGTGATTAGCTTTTTTAGACTAGAAAATTAAAATCTAGAAGTGAATCTACTTATAAATTTGAATTAAAGTAACATAAAATTTACTATAATTAAAAAAAAAACAATTATAGATAGAAGATGTCTTCGTGCTCGAATTTGCGTCGTTGGTTTTGTCCGAGCTAACACGTGAACCCATCGGCTGTGAACAGCTGGTGTCTTGTAATATATTGAACAGTCTTTGTAATCGGATGAAGAATAGTCTCGATCCTGACGTACAGAAGAATTGCTTACAAGTGAGTATAGATGATTTTTTAAATTTCGATTTTTCTTACGTCAACAGTAATTTACTTTTTTACACATATTACCCAAACATTGTCTATGCTTGAAAAACTAATGCATTTTCGAGGATTCCTACAAAAAAAGTAATACGTTTACTTTACTTTTGCTGGCAAGAGGTGGGGGGGGGATAAATTGCAGTAAATCTGCATACGTAATACTTAAACGGTCTCTAATGTGTGGGCGAGCGCGGTTTGTTACACCTAGGCTAATAATAATAATATGCAATCGTTTAAGAAGGAAGCATAAAATCATTATCGTCTGTTTTATTATCTTCAATCTCAGGAAAATTGTCCTAAACATACAAAGTGTTGGTAAAAAAAATAAGTTAAAAAGAATCTTAAAGGATTTTTTTACTTAACGCTAAATGGACAGTCTCTACTCTCTGACTACGACTGCTTTAGTACTGAAAGGTGGAACTGAATAAATACTGTAATAAAACTGTTTAATAAGTTTTATGTAAATATTACGTTATAAGGTAGTATGTTAATAAATAAACCAAAAAATCGCTGGTAACTTGAAAAATGAGACAGCCCTCAATGTCCTAATTTGAAATATGTCAAAGTCAAAGTCAAAATCAATTATAGGTAACACAATGTACACTTATGTAGTTCATACGAACTTTTCCATAGACACTAAGCAACCTCCTCGAAGACCCCGTATGTGCATCTGAAGTAACCAAGAACCAGCAGTTCAGTTGGGCTTCTCTGTTGGCTCTGATGCAGAGTCCATACTTGGCTATTCAGCACGCCGCTCTTAAGACAGTTGACCAGCTCATCTGCAGATACAAGGACCAGGTAGTCCAGAAATCCTTCAGAGCGTCTACTGGTGTGTTGGATTTATGTGATATACTTGAGGTAATTTATTTTTAATACTTTTTCTATTATTTATTGGGTTTAATAGCTTAATCTGTAATCAGAGTTAGTCTATAAGTGGTAAAAAAATATTAATTAAATAATAAGTGTGAGTTGTTCTTGATTTTACGTAAAAGAAAAGGAAGACTAAGTATGTATGGAAGTATGTATTTTGTTAAAGCGTTTGTTTTACCAAATGAGCAACATTCTTGTCTATAGTTTATCGATGAAACTGATACGAAAGGATTTCCCCGACCCGACCCCCTGTTACCTGGTAATACCTAATCTAGACAATTACAATCATTTAATATTGGATTTATTCATAAAGCAATTAACAAAATATTAAACAAAACTAAAAGACATTAGTGAGTGCAAACCTAAGTTATTATGATTAGTGGACGTTATCATTTTGACATACATAGGTTTTATTACGCATATTTTAAATTTTTAAATAAATGAGTGGCGCTTCAACCTTTTTAGGTTTAGGCCTCTTTCTGTATCTGTTACATGATCATTTGTCAATGCAAAGGCTAGAAGGTGATCAGCCAAATGTGCCTGACATACGCCGTAGACTTTTTGGGACTTCACCGTTCGAGCAAAAGTTAAATGCGCACATTGAAAGAAAGTCCATTGGTGCACATTCGGGGATTCGGGGAATACAAAAAAATATCTATGAAAAACATGATAACCAGATGTTAAGTGATACCGCCGACCATGGAAATTTCCAATTAGCTCAATGCCATAGGGCTCGCGAGTGCGTTGCCGGCCTTTTACGAATTGGTACTCTTGTGGACTCTTTTCCTGAAGGACCCTAAATTGAATTGGTTCGGAAATAGATTAGTGGGCAGCTGGTTCCACATCACCACTATGCGCGGCAAATACAAAAATACAAATTGTTTATTAGATGTAATCTATTTAGTCCTACGAGTTCCGTGATGTCCATACTCAAGTGCTGGGAGTTCTACGTAACTACGTAGAGACGGAAGAGAATGCCGCCCATCTCTACCAGTCAGGTTGTATTTTACGACTACTCGCATATCTGGAGATGGCCCTGCCCGCTATGAAACCACATTGCCTTGGTGTGCTTACCAAAATGTCATTTAACTCCAATGGGCGTGACGTGAGTTTTATAATCATATATACTTAGGTACTAATTTAGTTTTTATACTCTCGAAACTATACTATTAATTCAGTTTTAATACTCTGTGAAATATTACTTTTAATAATAATAATAATAAAAACTTTATTAATGACAGAAGGGTTTGTGACAGAAATCATAAATCGCTAGTCCCCACACTAGGGAGGGCCTGTGTTGTGGGTAACTAGAAAACAATTATTTCGTGGTACATGTTAAAATTAGTTAAAAAAAAAAGATGATAATAAAAAAAAAAAAATACTAATAATAGTTATAAATTTAGTGTTACAAATGAAGTGAATGAGTGAGTGTGTGAATAGGTGAGAGAGAATACTCTGAGAACTTTACTTATTTAGTGTTAATACTCTGTGAACTTTACTAATTTAGTTTTAATACTCTGTGAACTATACTAATTTAGTTTTAATATTCTCGAAACTTCACTTATTTAATTTTAAAACTCTATAACTGCATTCATATTAATTGAGGTACTCATTCTTCTTTTATATTATATGCCCATTATTATCTCACTAACTGTGCCCAACGTTTTTGCTCGCATTAATTTGGTCCTATCACGATGTTATTGTTCCTCGATATATGAACTATAGGTCTACCAGGATCTGATGGCAAAAAGGGAAAAAAGAAATTGACGCTAGCAATACTGGGGAAATTGGAGTAAAACGTTTTGATACTTTTTTTCCTTATAGCGGCTGATACATGCAAATATAAAAATGTATCCAATGAACAAGGATAATTTTTGAAAATGTGGCGAATGTGGGTTTGAAATTTAGATGAAAACTCCAATTACTCTGTTCATGAGTTTATTAATTAATTAAGAACTTGAAAATGGTTCCAAATACTGCACATCCATAAAAAAGTCTTCAACGCCGTATTTATAATAAACCTTTCCTTCTGCATCTCAATTAACCGATCTTGTTCTATGAATTGATTTTAAATTTTTATAACATGTTCACAATATTTTCACCATTCATCGATCC